TTTAACTCCAGAGGAGGCCAAGAGCCCAGGATGAGATGCCCAGAGCCAAATGCCATCCACAAATGAGTAGGTGGTGGCCCGAGGAATATTTCCAGCTGGTGGTCAAGTCAGGTTCTCCCTGTTTCCTTCATTTTGATATTTTTAGGGGACGACATCCCCTGCCCCTTTCCAACACTCGCCGCAGTGTGCAAGCCACAAAATCTGCAGCAGCTGTAAAGAAAAGGCGAGCGGTTCCACTTACCGCGTCTTCGGCTTAGGTTAAACCTTTCGCTAGCATCTTCTCATTGAATTCCTTATGACCACTGAGTTTACAGTAAATGCTGTAAATGTCCCTGTTTGCAGATGAGGAAGCCACTCGGGTTTCACTTCCTTTCCAAAGATCATGGGGCTTCAAAGACAACAAGTAAAAAGCAAGGAAGTCAAGTGTGTCCACAGCTGCCGAGAGACTCACCGTGCACTTGTTCATACTCTTCCAGAGTGTCCGTCTCTGTATATATCAACATATTTTGTGTGTGTCCACACACAGTTTCTTACAAAATGGAAGCCTCCTGTAGGTGCTGGTGTGTCCTTTTTCAGTGCAGCATTTTTCTGTGCAATAAATTAACTTCATGCCAACATTCTCATCAGTGGTGCCCTCTGTATGTCCAGTGCAACACTAGCCCTGGGGAAGAGAAGACCAAGCTGCAGGAAACCACGGCTCACTCTTCAAGACGCTGTATGAATCCACTCATTCACTTTACAAATACTGCCGAGCCCTGCCATGTGCCAGGCGCTCTGCCAGGCGCTTGTGGGCGCAGCGAAGAATCAGACCGCTGTCCAAGGGGAGAGCCAGGGGGCCTCCTAGTGCCCTCCATGTCCCGTCGCCCACAGGCATCATGTGTATTTATTTGTGTATTTTTTCCTGTGGAAAATACATATACCACAAAATTGACTGTTTGAACCATTTTTAAGTGTACAGTTCAGTGGCATTAAATACATTCACACTGTTGTGCACCCATCACCACCATCATCTCCAGAACTCTTCCATCTTCTCAGACTGACTCTTTGCCCCCATTAGACTCTGATCCCCGTCCCCTCCCTCGGTCCCAGGCAGCCACCCTCCACCTCATGTCTCGGTGAGTTTGACTTCTTTAGGTGCCTCAGGTAAGCAGAACCAGACATTATTTGCCCTTTGGTGTGGGGTTTATTTCATGCGGGGTGCAGTCCTCATGGCTCCTGCATGCGTGTCTGTCACAGGGACAGCCCCGGCTTCCTTAGCGTTGCACGTGTCTGCCCTGCCGCTCCACCCTCTGCCACCACCTCTCTCCGCCCTCCACCACCACCTCCGGTGCCGCTTCTCTCCTGGACCGTTGCAGAAAGAACTAACTGGTCTCCCAGCCTCAAGTCCGCCCTCGTCCAATGCACTTTCCACACCACTTGCAAAGTGATACTACATTTTTCTTTCTAAGTTTCAGGTTAGATTTTAAAACTTCTTAAAGTGAGACATGTGCTTGGTCATCATAAATTCACACAATACAGAAGAGCATGAAATGCAAAGAATCCTCGGTGAATGTTCCATCTCTGTAGATGCGAAGCATTTTTAGCCCCCGTGTGGTTTGCATTCATTGTGCCCATGCACTGCCCATGTCCCGTCTGGTGGGACACTCACATTGCCGGTGACATGCCGGATTTCCAGGGCTGGGTGCGCATTCTTGGCCTAAATCCAGGTGAGTTCCAAACGAGCCAGCAGACTGCTCAGCAGGCTGCCGGCTGCATGGTTATGGGCGTCCTGGGCGACAGCCTCCGCTGCAGCTCCTGATCAGCCAAATGCAGCCAAGCCCAGAGCAGTGGGTCCGTTCCAAACTGGCCCAGGGCCCAGGGTTCAGCGTCAGAGGCATGGGAAGTACCTTTGCTGACTGGGAGGCTTGGACCGTTCTCTCGGGCCCTGTATATCGTGCAGCTGTCGGCTTCGGGTTTGCACAGGATGTGTCGCGCACGCAGCTGAGCCGGCCCCGACCAAATGACTGTGTCAGATGGGGGTAGAGTGTGTTCCCCCAGGCCCCCGCACAGCAAAGCAGGGCTGAGGGGCAGCCGGGCTCCTTCCCAGGCAGGGCTGGCTCCCTGAGCCTGTGGCGGCCCCACCCCCGCCACAGAGGCTCTCAGCCGCGTGGGCCACCTTGGGGTTCTGGCCCACAGCTCCTCACAAGTTCTTGGATGTCCTCTGCCACTCAGGTGACACAGACCTTCACCTGTGACTGTTTCTATTCTGTCTTGGCTGAGTTTGGACAGGTGCCCGTAGAAGGTCATAGATGGGTTTGTACTGGAAGAGGAAGTGCAAGGGTGCTCGGGTGTGAAAGTAACCATAGCCCGAAGCTGCATGCGGGAGCATCAACCATGCATTCATTTACTTCCTCATTCTTTCATTCCTTCTATTCTTTCTTCACTCACTGGTTCATCCGATAGCCTCTGGGTATTTACTCACCTGTCAGATGCTAAGCTTGAGATAGTGGGGGCTTTGGCCCTTCCCCAGCCATCTCTGAGTGTCACTTCGTGAAATAGAACCTAGCCTGCCAGGCTGCTGGATGGACTTCTGTATTCCCGAAGGGAAAATCATCTACAACAGAGGCAGGCCCAGCATTTGAGCTCCCTCTGCCTGTCCTGCCTCTGTTTCCACTCTCCAGTGGACTCAGAGACAACTCCCAAGCCCTCCCAAGCTCTCCCCTTTGGCAACATGGCATGGTTGGGGCGGCCTCCCAGCCTCCCAGCACTGCAGCCCGGCAGTTGATTCTGAGTTTTCCCTCCGTGGGCTTCACTGCTGCCATCCCTGTGCACGGAGCTGCTCCTCTCATCTCTGGCCCTCCCTCGGGCCCTCTTCTCTAGGCGGCCCCTCCTCCCGCCTGGTGGAAAGGCCATGTGAGCAGGGCCTGCAACAGCTGGAGCCATCCCTGCCCTGCTCTTGTTCCTGAGCACGAAAGGGGAAGTGGAGGTTTGCAGCCTGACACAATGTCGGGAAGGGCCTGTCCCTTATCAGAACTCGGTTCACAGCAGATTCTGGGACCCCACCTTCCCCAGGAGCTGCGCGTGGGCTGCAGTCCATGGGAGCCTCGGGGGAAGGCTCAGGGAAACCTGGGGCCTGCCTGGGAGCCATCCAGGTAGAAAGCTGTTGTCTAGTGGGGACCCCGTTTGAAGCCACGAGGGAGGCCTGCGCTTAGAGTTCAGGACCTCTGCCCACAGCCCACTTCCTTTCCAGGGTTCCCTCACTAAGATTTGTCTGGGTGCCTTTGGCTGTTTTCTCTGCTCCCAGTCATCAGCACACAGCTGCAGAGGCTTGAACTGAGAGCCCCAAAGCTTAGTTTCTTCATCCTCAAAATGGCATCCCAGGTCGATATAACCATTCAGGGTGGATGTGAAGCCACAGTGCACACCCATGGTCTGTGCCTGACGCACTCACTGAGCACACGCTTCCAGTAGTACACACAGACACATTCAGTGCACACGCTTATGGCACAAACCTACTGCACACGCAGTGCACACGGTTCCCTTATATAGAAAACAACTGCTTTTTCTTCATATTTCCCAGGAATTAAGAACGACTAGGCCTCTCCCACTGGGCTGAATGCTTTGGGAAAGACGTTCTTCCGTTCGTGCACAGGTGCTACAGCGCGCTGGCCCGGTGCCCAACGCGCGGAGTAGGGCGCTAGGGTTCTGGGCGTGAGCCACGCAGGCAGAGCGGACAGGTGACGCTGTTGTCTCCTGGAGCTGGCATTCAGGTGTCCAAAACAGGCAGTAAACAAGTACATTTCTGTCAAGAAGAAATAAAGAAGGTGGCTGAGAGGGAAAGAGATGGGGGAGGGGAGAGAGGTTGGGGGGCGAGGGAGGATTCCAGAGGAGGGGCTTGGGTACAAGTGGGCCGAGGGCAGCTGTCCCACCACCGCTCTGTGTCCAGGCAGAACTGGGGGCACTTGCCCCTGACCTTCACCATTGGCCCAGATACCCTGGAAACGTGACCTCTGCTGGCATCACGACAGGGGGGTGCCACTTGTCCTTTGGCTGTCATGTCCTTGCTGGGTGGCCTGTCATGTCCTTCCCTGGGAGGCCTGAAGGCCAAGGCCATGAGCAGGATTTTGTTAGCACTTGTGTGCTGTGGTAGGGTTTTTTCCTTTAGTTAATTATTAAAAATTAACACACTGTAAAATTCCTAACAGTGCACAGTGTTCTACAGCAAACGTAAGACTCACCCCGCCCTTCCGAACCCCCCTGTCCTTGTGAGGAGGCCACGTGTACCCCCGTAGTCGCAGTCTGTTCGCATTCAGCATCCATATTTTTTTCTCACTGAAAAAATCCATTTTTTCAAATGGGGTTACACTACATCAGAGACCCTCCAGCCTGGGATGATTTTGCCTCCCCCATCCCCCACCCCCACCTAGGGTACATCTGACAATTTCTGGAGACATTTTTTATTGTTGCATCTGAGCAGAGAGGATGCTACTAACATCTTCTAATGAGTAGAGGTCAAGGATGCTGTTAAATATCCTACAATATGCCGGAGAGCTCCCACAACAGAGAATTATCTGGTCCAAAATAGCAGTAGTGATGAGGTTAAGAAACCCCGTTCTATATAAACATATATTGTGTCTGCAGCTTGCTATGTGTACCTGAAATTACAATACATGGATTATTCACATCGGCATTTGTAGATCCTCCCCCATCAGTTTTTATTTGGGTGTTTGCAGTCTTTTGCTTTTGCAAACATTTGTGCTACAGGGAGCGTTCTTTTCCATATACTTGCTCTTGAGTCACGTGTGAGGTCAAAGAATAAATTGATGGAGGCGGCATGGATGGATCAGAGGGCTCATTAGCAGTTTAAGTGACCTGATTTCAAGTCTCTTTGGGGCAGAGTCCGTGACAAGAGTGCTTCTGGGTTCCGGCTGCCAAGCAGGGCCAGGACCCTCAGAAGTCTGGCGGGAAAGCTCCTCTACCCTCTCATCCGCAGACAAGGCTGACAGCCCATCTCTCCACAGGATGAGGGCGTCCCCCACCTGAAGACAACGAGCCCGTCCTGAGTGACGCCCCGGAGCTGAGTGCCCACGGCCCCACCCTTCCCCATGGAGAAAGGACTTGCTTTGCCCCAGGACTGCCGCGACTTTCTGCACAGTCTGAGGATGAGGAGCAAATATGCCCTTTTCCTGGCTTTTGTGGTGGTGGTTTTTGTCTTTATCGAAAAGGAAAATAAAATCATATCAAGGTGAGGGGTGCAATCACAAGTCTTCCTTATCGAGGGGGCTGGGGAGAGGCGGCCATCGGCCACCCTGGGCCTGCAGAGGCAACCCTGCAACCCATGCCCGCGAGGCCCTCCTGCGCCCATGCGGCGGGGTGTGCACAAGTCCCCCGTGGTGAGGTTTGGGCTCTGGACATGGGCCACCTGGGTTGGAATTCTGATTTCGGCCCTTTCCAGCTGTGACAGCTTAGACACAATATGGAACTTTCTGTCTTAAGTTCTTCTCTGAAACATGGCTTAATGGGGGGACCTGCCTAACTATAAAGATTAAATGAGAAAATGTAAAAGCTTTTAGCCCAGTGCCTGGCACATAGTTGATGTCTAGTACTTGCCAGAAAGCATCCGCCAAGACAGGTGGGACTTGGGCTGAGTCCGTGCCCTGCCTGTGTTGCTCACCTGCTCATCCCTTATGGGCTTCTTTTCCACCCCACTTCTCTCCCTCCCCCTCTACCGCTTTCTCCTGTGACTGTATCCCAAATCGACTACCTCTTACCCTCAAATTCTTGCCCCAAGTTGGCTTCTGGGGAAACCCAACTAAGACAGGCTTTGGGTTATCAGCCTGGGAGGCTACACAGGGGATGGAGTCCCCAGCCAGTTACTGACCCTGGTCTCCCCCTGTCCTCACAGGGTCTCGGACAAGCTGAAACAGATCCCCCAGTCCCTGGTAGATGCCAACAGCACTGACCCAGCCCTGGCCTTGGCTGAGAACGCATCCCTCCTGTCCCTGAGTGAGCTTGATTCGGCCTTCACGCAGCTGCAGAGCCGCCTGCGAAACTTCAGTCTGCAGCTGGGCTTGCAGCCCGCCCAGGAGACCCAGGGGCAGGTGGGGGAGGAGGAGCGGCTCCCAGGCCCCGTGGAGCCCCGACCCCGGCGCCACGTCCTTCTCATGGCCACTACGCGCACTGGCTCCTCTTTCGTGGGTGAGTTCTTCAACCAGCAGGGCAACATCTTCTACCTCTTCGAGCCCCTGTGGCACATCGAGCGCACGGTGTCCTTCGAGCCGGGAGGCGCCAGCGCAGCCGGCTCGGCCGTGGTCTACCGCGATGTGCTCAAGCAGCTCTTCCTGTGCGACCTGTACGTGCTGGAGCATTTCATCAGCCCCCTGCCTGAGGACCACCTGACCCAGTTCATGTTCCGCCGCGGCTCCAGCCGCTCGCTCTGCGAGGACCCCGTGTGCACGCCCTTCGTCAAGAAGGTCTTCGAGAAGTACCACTGCAAGAACCGCCGCTGCGGCCCGCTCAACGTGACGCTGGCCGCCGAGGCCTGCCGCCGCAAGGAGCACATGGCGCTCAAGGCCGTCCGCATCCGGCAGCTGGAGTTCCTGCAGCCCCTGGCCGAGGACCCCCGGCTGGACCTACGTGTCATCCAGCTGGTGCGCGACCCCCGGGCCGTGCTGGCCTCCCGCATGGTGGCCTTCGCCGGCAAGTACGAGACCTGGAAGAAGTGGCTGGCCGAGGGACAGGACCGGCTGAGAGAGGAGGAGGTGCAGCGGCTGAGGGGCAACTGTGAGAGCATCCGCCTGTCGGCGGAGCTGGGCCTGCGGCAGCCAGCCTGGCTGCGGGGCCGCTACATGCTTGTGCGCTACGAGGACGTGGCCCGCAGGCCCCTGGAGAAGGCCCGGGAGATGTACCGCTTTGCAGGCATCCCCCTGACCCCGCAGGTGGAGGACTGGATCCAGAAGAACACCCAGGCGTCCCGGGACAGCAGCGGCATCTACTCCACGCAGAAGAACTCCTCCGAGCAGTTCGAGAAGTGGCGCTTCAGCATGCCCTTCAAGCTGGCGCAGGTGGTGCAGGCTGCCTGCGGCCCCGCCATGCACCTCTTCGGCTACAGATTGGCGCAGGATGCCGCCTCCCTCACCAACCGCTCTGTCAGCCTGCTGGAGGAGCGAGGCACCTCCTGGGTCACGTAGGGGCCTGGGGCCACATGCAACCCTCCTCATGAAAGTGCCGCCCTGCCTTCCTCACCCAGGCCAGCTGTGAGCTGGTGGCGCTTGCAGAGGATGGCGGGTCGCCCCGCTGGGAGCAGGCGCCCCCTGCTGTAGAAGTAGCCCCCAGGCAGCTCGCTCCCCCACCAGGGCCGTGGGCTGGGGTTTCTTGCTGAGAACAGGACAGTGCCCTGCCCCCTTGAGGGCCATCCAACCAAGACCCATGGGGCAGGCCCAGCCTATTGACAGTGTGTCTCTCTCACACACATGCACACACACATGCACGCAGAAACGCACCTGAAGCTGAAGCACACATAAATGCCTGTAGACCTCGTGGGCCACAGTCCAAACCTTTAACAGCGAGAAGGGGCTGTGAGCACTGAGCACAGTCCCTGGATTTCTGTACAACGCACTGTGGATTCTGGGTGGGCCCCTCTGTAAAGGGCTACAAAAGGCACACGCAGGCACAGGAATGAGTACTGCATGCACACCACACGTGGGAAACATCATAAAAACACAATCCCACACACACGCATATGTGGACACACAAGCTTTCCCACTGCTTTAGGCCCACAGGGTTTATCTGTATCACACACTTGAGAGGAGCTTTTAGTTATGTGGGAGCAGGGGAAGGAAATACGGCCTCGGCCACAGCCCCGCTCTCGGACTGGGTTGGGATGAACAGTGGACACAGAACTGCCGAGTCCATACCCCGTGTCCGCGTGGAGTCTCAGGGCTGCCTCCGCTGGCCCGTCCACGTCCTCACTGCTGGCAGGCAGGATATTCTGAAATGGTGCTGTTGATCCTCACGTGACTGCAGCCCCAAGTCCCCATCCCAGCTTGGCTGGTGTCCTAGCGCGGGTCCGTATTTGAAGGCCACCTCAGGCCAGACTGGCAGGAGCAGCTGTGATCCCTGGAAGCAACAGGCACCTCACGGGTCCCGCAGCTTCCAACCAGGCCCCTGTGGGGCAGGGCCCGGTGGCAGTCCAGGGTGCTCCCGGGGGAGAGGTCCCATCGGGATAGCCCCTCCCCTGAGAAGACAGGGAGAGATCAGCCCCCTGGTTCGTAGCCAGAGTTACATGGTTAGTGTCTGGAATTCCTCCTTTAGGGCTCCGGGAAGAGTATTGCTTAACTTGGGATGGGCTTGGTATTTGTTTTCTGTTTTTTGGGGGGGTGGTTAGGGTATTTATGGCTTGGTGTTTTGTTTTGTGGCTGTGTTTTCATTTTTGTTTCTGCCGAAGTGCCTCTTGGAAGCAACCTGCGCCCGAGGGGCTGGGGCTCTGGGAGGGCTAGGGAAGTGCTCTGGCTCTTGCTGGAGGCAGAGGAGGAGGAGGAAGAGCTTCCTTCCAGAAGGAGCAAAGCCTAGGTGGCCACGCGACGGCCCACCGGGCTCTTCTGTCTCAACGCCACGTGAAAGGAGTCTCAGAAACCACCAGCATCCTTTGGCCCCTGTCCAGGAGCAGCACAAATGAGCAGCCCTCACCCCTGCCCCGAGAAGAGGCCAGATTAAATCTCTCTCCCAGGCCCGACCACACTTCCTGAGGGGTCAGGGCCCACGACCAAGCAGCAATGTCCCCAAAGTGGAAGGCTTTCCCCACTCCCAACCCAAGCCGAGGAGCAAAGCTCAGCCCCATCTCAGAACTTGCAGGAAGCTGTGACAGTTCACTGAGGGCAGTTTCTGATTTCCTGGACGACCTCTCCGTCCGAGCCGTCCCGCTCGCTGTCAAACCCAGGGGGCTGCGTTTCGGCTTGAGGAGTGTGCACGAGAGGGAAGAACAGGCTCTGAGTCCCCCTGGTGTTGCCGTGGGGAAGGAAGGGGCGTGTCCGGCTGGAAACTGCCTTTTGAAAAGGTGAGGATGGTAGCCATCTACGGGATCCATTATAATCAACGTACTTGAGCTGCTGGGTCTGCATCACCATGGACTTCAGTCATTCCCGGAGGTCTCCATTCTAGGTTTCCCAGCCCAAGAATAAGTTGTGCAGGGAGCTGGCTCGAATTTGGGGTCCAAATGGACTCCAGCCCTGAGAACTTGACAGAGGGGGGCCAGGATTTTTCTGGCAGGCCCAGAAGTCCCAGCAGTTCTTCCCCAGCCCCTGCCCCGCTCCCTGTGCTGCTCCCTGCGCCGACCCAGGGCCGGCAGGGGCACGCTCCTCGGTCCAGGGTTCTTCCTGGGTCCTCCCAGTGTGAACAGCAGACTTCCTGCTTTCCATGTGCAGGGCCAAGGCCTCCACCCTGAGCTCTGGAGACCTTTGGGACTTCTCAGGACATTGGCAGTGTGTACTCTGCCAGTCGACTTGATTTATTTATTTTGTGAAAAAGAAGAGACAGAAATGCATGATTGTTTGCAGGGACTCAAAGCTGTACCCAAATCAAGAAAGACAAACTAATAATAATAGAAACTGTGCACTCGCCCCACACAAGGACACTGCGGGACGATTCAGAATACAAGAGGGAACCAAACCAAGACTGTGAGAGTCATGGTGGTCCCAAGCTTTTGTTTGAGGAGGTTCCTTCGTTTGCTCTTGTTGATTCGAAGATGCAACAGAAAGGCCCTTTTCTGCTGTACAGCCTTCACCCAGGTGCCTGAAACATGACACAACCTGAGTAAGCGTTGCCTTGGGGCCCTGGGGGCTTGGGGAAGGGCAGGGTGGGGTGACTGCTGCCTTTCCGTGACCGTGACCGGGGCCTGGTCGGAGCCCTGCCGTTGGGGTTTTCGGCATGGAACTTTGCTGGGGAAGGCGGTCTGGCCAGAGGCTAGTGCCTTCCTTTCCAGAATTCTCTGCTGCTGGGGAGCCACCAAGGTCCACCTGCCCGGAGACAGAGGGAGCAGCTGAGGCCTCGCCTCACAGTGGCTGGCTTCCCCAGAACAGGAGGCCCATTCAGCAGTGCACACTTACTCATTTTTTTCTTCTTCAAGAAGATCCCTTTAGCCTGGCCTATATAAATAGCTCCGAACATTCCAGACCGTGGTGAGACGGGGCAGTGTCTGACAGCCGCTGGCCATCGTGGCCACTGCCCATTTCTGGCTTCTCTTCTGTGCCTTGTTTGTGAACCTTGGCGTGGATGAGGGCACAGGGGAGAAGGGTCGGTGGGGGCAGCTCTGTCACACGCCCCCACAGGCTATCACTGATTTATTGCTGAGAGGCATGAGGAATTCTAGGCTTGTCCCTTTATGTGATGCACACTTGAAAATAAATGACTAAATGAACAGAACAAAACTGTTCAAAATGAAGAATTGACTCCCTACCTGCCAGCACCGTCAGACAGAGGCCAGTCTAACGGGGCGGCTGCTGACCAAACCCCCAAGAACAGAAGCCACCCACTCCAGCCACGATGGTGGCATCTCTCCCTGCCACCTCTGCCATCTATCTGACAATAGAACAAGTTCCAGCAGGAGGTCAGAGGGTCCCTGACCCTGCAAGTCTCTTCCGGCCCTGGGGGACCCTCCCACTCCAGGGTCTGTCTTCGCTGGCTGTGGGGCCTGTCCTTAGATAGCCCTGAATTGTGAGGGACAAGAGCAGAAGACCCGGTGGCTGTGTCCCCCAGGAGACCCTCCCACTCCAGTCCCTGAAGGCTGAGTGCAGTGGCGGGTCTCAGAAGGGCGGTTCCTGAGTCAGGAAGAGCTACGGAGAGAGGAGGCTGGGGGAGCGGAGGCCTGCAGAACTCAAAAGGGTCTTGTCAGTCTGTACATACTGAAAGGAGCATCCGCTGAAATCCAGGGGCCTCAGCTTCCTGAGTTCACTCATGAAGACTCCCAGGATGTGGTCTAGCTGGACAGGAGGGAGGAGGCCCGGGGTTTCCTGAATGCAGCCTCGATGCCTCTCCACCGCCACGGTTTCAGGAATAGTTGGAGCTGCTCTTGACCTCAAAAGGACAAGCAGAACTGTTGACTTCAGATGTCTTAAGAGCTTCAAGATCCTTGGTCTCGTGTCCTTTGTCATTCCATGACTGTGCCCGGGGAACCAATCAGTTACGTGTTTCCAAGGGTACGGTCACGCGCCATCCACCTGAGCCTGGCTCATACCGTACTCAGATATGCTGTCTGGAAAATGAAATGCCCATGTCCCTGCTTCCTCTAACACCGGGCCTGGCCTGGGTGACCCTGAGTCCCCCTCTCATCTGTGTGCTTTGGACCAAGTCTGCATGGCTCCCCCGCTCCCTCCTGGATCCTGCAAGCTGTCTTTTTGCCAAGACCTCGCCTCGTGTCATGTTTCCTGGCCACATGGTACAGGACACTCCTTGCATGGCCATGTGTGGCTGTGATGTGTACATATGTGTCCACATGTGTGTATGTGTAGCGTGCAGTTCATTCAGCTCGGCCTCATTGCTCCCGGCCCCGTGCCATCGATGTCCCAGACGACCTCGCCATGGCTCCAGTCCGCCGTCTCCTGGGAACAAGGGAGCTGCCCTTCAGAGAGCTGGCAGCCACCACCGGTCAGGGTCTGCTTTGTGGAACAGAATGTGAACCCATCACTTGATGGCTTACTTGACTTATTTAATTAAAAATGAAACGTGCAGTGAGCAAAATGTGAAGTGTGTCTGCCTTCCTTTTGCACTCATTCTCAACAGCAATCATAACAATGAACAGGAGAAAATTGGCAGCTGGAGGAATGGGGTGGCTTCTGGCACGAAGCAGAGCAGAGGAAACCCTGACTCCTCCCGAGGCGTGAAAGGCAGAAGGGAAGTGTGGCTGAGCGTGGGGGCCGCAGTGAATATGCCGCAGGCCACCGGACGGTGGAGCTGGTGGTGACTGCGTGCAGCTGGCTACAGGAATGAGGTCGGGGAGATAAATACCCAGGCATCAGGGGGCAGGAACAGGAGCACTGGCTAGAGGTCAGGGCACTTGGGGACAAGTCCCAACTTTGCCACCATCTGGCCCTGTGACATTGGACAAGTAACTTCCCATATCTGAGCCCCACTTTTCTTTACAATGAGGAGCGTACTCAGTGGTTCACAGCCTTTGTTCCAAAAAGCCCTTCAGAGATTGGGAAGTTAGCCCCGTCACCCCGAACAGCTGCACTGATGGGCATCACCCGTTGAAACAGCGCCAGAGGTTTCGCTCGGCCTTCGACAGAATCTCCAAAGCCCCATGAGGAGGCTTCTAAGGGTGTTTTCCACTAAAGAGTGTAATGGAACCCCTTCAAATTGCAGTTACATTGCTCTGTCAGTCATAACAATTTTAGCATGAATTAGATTTCCACCCTTGTGTCAACCATCGGGAGAGAACGGGCATTTCCCTGGGAAGAAGTCTCATTCTGGGACACGGGAGGGCAGAGCTGGTGGGCCTTTGTGGGTTTGGGGGCCATGGGGAAGCAGGAGCCAGGGAGAGACAGACAAGAGCCGAGCCCTGGGGACAGGAGTGGCACCTGCAGTGACAGGGTAAGACGTGATATTAGAGACTGGGACCCTTCCCCCAAGACGCACACCTGCGTTTGTGTCCCTTTACCCGGACCAGGCCTCAGGAGCACAAACCGGTCCCCTCCCAACCGTGGGATAGAGGCGTCCTCACAGGGACACCCAACCTGAGTGTGACGGCCACTGCACCACCCCCAGACGGGTGCCACTGTGGTCTCCACTCATCTGGGGACCGGGGGTATTTAGTTTCATTTCCAGGTTGCGTTTCCTACCGCAAACGGTCCCCTGGAGGAACAAATGGCCCTAACAGTACAGCGGAGATGCTCCAGCACCTTCCCCACTCGCCCCTCAGCCACCAGCCGAGACCAAAAGCCATTGCTCCCCTCACTCCCAGACCTCTTTGGGCTTCGGGCTGGTCCCCCACTACACCCCAAGTTTCCCAATGCTGGGAGAGAGCTGAATACCCCGCAGGGTCTGGTGGGAGTGACAGTCAGCTAGACCCAGACGGAAGGGGTGTGATGTGCGCTCGCTCCAGGAGCCCTGCCGGGCACACCCAGCATGGGAGCCCCAAGTGTGTGTGGAGGAACTGCGGTCACCTAGCCGCTCTGAGGGGCCACAGTGTACCCCAGTCGAGGTCCTGAGACGTCGGCTTTCCTTTGACCCAGATCGCCAGGATTTACTCAGAACCATTTTTATGGGTGAATTCTTTTAGCATAAAGACTTTTTTTTCCCCCCCAAACAACATCTTTCAAGACTGGCATTCTACAGAACAGTCTAGCAGTCAGAAACCTGCAAGTATAAGTGCATAGCACTAAAAGCCAGGATACGCAGACCAGAAGAGGCTGGAGGGGAAAAGTCCAGGGTTAAGTTCCAGGGCCCCAGCCCACCTTCCCGCCATCTCACTGAGCTACGAGCCAGGAGCAAGAGCTGGCCTGCGGAGATGCTGGTGGGTCAGAGTTTGTGGCCCCAAGGCATTCATGCTGCCACCATAAAACCTGCTGGTGGCCGGAAGCCCTTGGTCCTGGGCTTTCTCAACTCAGCCCGCGCCTGCAGGTGACCTTACCCTCCAAGAGTGGAGACCCCGGGGAGCCCAGGCCAGGCATAAACGCCACAGGACAGACACTAGTGATCTGAGAAACTGGCGCTCGGGGTACTGAACGGAGCTATTTCTGAAATGACTGGACAGAGGTCACCGACAGTAAACAGGTCCCCTGGAGATATAACCCTCTAGTAGCCAGTAACCCCCTGGCTAAATGCTGCTGTGCGCTTTGTTGGAAGGATAAGCAACTAGGAAGGGCTCAGCAGAAAGGCTTGCCCAAGAAATGCAGAGTGAAAGAAGGGAGTGAGGAAGGGAGGCAGGGAAAGTGACAAGAAGGGGCACACCCAAAAGATGGAGTGGGGACGATGGCCACTTGGCTGAAACCATCCAACAGCCCCAGCCACGCTGTCCGAGAACTCAAGGGACGTGCCGGGCAAGGCTGGGCGCAGGGCACACGCAGCTCTCCCCCCCCCTCACCGGACCAGATCCACCCTGTGGCTGTGTGGCCCACGCAGTGTCTGGTTTTGTTTTTAACAATTGGCATTAGAGGCCAACACTTAAAAATTAAGGGGTTTTATATAAAAACCAGATTTCTGCTTCCTCTTGAAAATCGGGTGTCTTGGTTTGAGTTACACCAGAAGCTGATGCTAAGACAGGGTTTGAGAGCAAACGGTTTATTTGAGAGCTTCAGACGGCCTGGTGGGGAGGAGGGAAGGGAGACAGCCAGAAGCCAGCTGCCACCGGGCCGGCGGAGCAGAATCCCGCCATAAAAGTATGAAGCCCTGGCCTTAGAATTACTGAGGGCTGAGCAACGGATCCTGAGGTACGTCTACACCATTCTTGTCAGTCTTTGGCTGCAGGTGGCTCGGGGGGAGTACTCATTCCTCAGCACCGTCCCACGAAGGAACCCCACTCCAGAATTCTGGAACAAGTGTGGGCCCCCAAATAAACACACAAGCAGCTGGAAGTTTCCACAGCACCGTGTAAGTTTCCAGAGTAAAGTGTGAGGGGTTGGTAGGGATCCAACAGCCCCTGGAAACAAGAGGTGATGGATCCAGGGGACTGTCACGCCCACAGGCACCAGGAGCAGCTGCTGGGAGAAGGGCAGGCCACCGTCCCCTCTGGTCTCTCCAGTGATGAATGAGGCAGCATTCTCAGCGCTTGGGCTGACCGTTTACCTCTACAAGACCTCTTCTCTGTGAACCCACGTCTGCCCAGAGTGAGAAAATAACAGGCCAGGAGGGCCACAGCTTCATCTCCATTCATTACAACAGCCCCTCCCACAATGGAATTTATTTATTAAAAAATGTGTATCCATTCTTACACCTTTAAACTTCAGTCACCTTCCAACCACTCTCCATCTGATGCACTACACCTACCGAGATGTTTTTTCCCACTGCTCAAAGCAGTCTTTGAACTCGCTGATTTGGACGCCTTTTAGTGCTTCTGCCGTTTTTGTTTGTCTCGCCTCTTCCACGTCAGCAAAATGTTTTTCTTTGAGGACATTTTTCTTCCAGGGTAACAAGAAAAAAAGTCGGTTGGAAGTGAGATCAGGTGAATAGGGAGGGTGGGGCAGGGGGATCATGCTGTTTTGGGTCAAACACTGCTGGACTCTCAGCGTGGTGTGAGCAGGTGCACTTGTAAATCAGTCATCATGACATGGGCAAACACGTTGAAAGAATCTTCAGAAAAAATCACTGAAGCCAAATGCAGCCTCTCACAACAACGCCAGCTCGTACACTGATACAGATGGGTTCCTAGAACACTCACCTAGTGGGGGAAGCCTGTGCTACAAGGGGCCCACCCTCCAGAAGGTAATTCTGGTTTTTTGGGGTCTGCCCTTGTATAAGCGGTTGAGTTTTCAAGCCCCTCACCCCAACCCCCCACCCCCAATTTAAAGTTCTGGTGGCATGCCAGGGCCTGGGTTGGCTCTCCCAGCCCAGTCTCCTTAACACTTAGACCATGAATAATGTTAGTCTGGAAACCTCGGCTGGCCTGGTCAGAACACCGTGGAACTCGACCACCCCATCACTATCTCCTGCTGCACCCATGTGGGTCTCTCCTGCCCACCCCTCCCCCAGAGCAACATGGACGAAGAGGACAGGTGGTCTTGTCCACCAGGAGGGTGGGCGGCAGGCCTGCATCCAGTCCATGCCAGAGCCGCCCTCCTTGGAGTTTCCAACTCCTTTCTGCTCTGCTGCACATGCTGGGGGGTGCTCGCATGTGGGGCACACGGGCCCCTTGGGCAGGTGCTTGATCGGTGTGGCAACCCCAAGTGCCCGAGTCCGGATGCTACCCTGCTCTCACCCACCTCAGTCGCTCAAGAGAGTGACCGAGGAGACATCGTGAGCAAAGGCCTGGAGGATGAAGGGACCTTGGAGAGTCTGGGGACCGAGAAGCGATTTGCTCTGGCTGAGATGGTGATGAGACAAGGGTCTGGAGAGGGGAGCTAGGGCTTGAATGTGCAGGAGCCTCCAAGCCCCACAAGGAGAGACTGGACTTGATCCTAAGGGCCCTGGGGAACCGCAGGAGGGCAGAGTGAAGCAGGTTAGCCTGGTCTGGTCAATCATGTCCCATTTTACAGATGAGCACAGAGAGCTGGCATGACCAGCTGTGTTGGGATGTGAAGCCACATCCTTCATCCTTACAGGCCCTTCTGTCCCATTTTATGCCTCAAGACTCCAACTTTGATGTGTTGGGACCCCACAGGCCATGTAAATGTCATGGAGGTGCAAGCCCAGAGCCAATGGTTTCCCTTTTGGTTCATATATGAGCCCCACCAGCAAATGCCAGCTTTTCAAAGTCGGCCCAGGCTGGAAGAGCAGCAACGTGTCCTAGCTGTGTGACCTTGGACCAGTGAATTGCCCTCTCTGAGCCTTAGGTTGCTCTTGTGTAAATAGGGGACAATATAAAGTGGAGGACAGGCATGTGCACAGTGTGCTGCTTCATGAGCCCTGGTGAGACCTGAATAAACAGCAGCTGCTCTGGCTTGCGGGCGGTCAGAGGCCTTTGCCCCATGTCTGCCTTCTTCTGGGAGCCTCTCAGTTCTCAGTTAATCAACAAATGTTTTGAAAGCTTGACAAAGGCCCAAGTAGAGCTTATAACAGAACCCGGGCCAAGTAGAATGAGGCCTTCAGCATTTGCCC